ACACACAAGCAGCCATTGGTCCCCTGTACAAATTATTGCCTTTTAACCCCCCTATATCTCCTCTCCTTGGGTGTCCTATTGGTGTGAATGAAGATGAAGATGCACCCGAGCCTTCCCCCAAACACTTGGACACAGGATTGACCACAGCAAGTTTGTATCAGTGCATGCCAATTTTGAAAGGTCTGCACCCACGGTCCTTAGGCAAGAGAGTTAACTAACTTTTAAAGCCTAGTTTCGACTACAGTGAGTTAACTCCCTTGCTTCAGGACGACGGGAACAAGCATGTGAATGTTCAAATTCACTGGTCCAGTGGTTCCTGAGATGTTTATTACATCTATCTAACAAATAGGCCATGACATAAAGCTTGACTGTCAGGTGAGCTAAAAAATCAATATCTTGGTCAAACAGTTTTCTATGAACTGTACTATTCAATATGACGGTATATGACTGAGCTGTTTTGTCAGCATTCACCTACCATAAACATAAATTGCAAGTGATTCTATGGTATTTGATTGTCTAACCAAGCAATTATTTTTTTAGTTTATGTTTTATTAAAAGAAAAAAATAATTATTGCCCACTAGCAGACTACTGTTTCCTGATTGGCTGATATTAGTCAGGGCTTGGGTCGCATAATGTTGCTGGATGAAGTCACCGAGAATTGTTGCAGGTTGTGACAGGTTGTGACGCTATTCTTGTTGACATCGAAATGTTTTTGTCTTCATGGAACTATCAACACAAAATTGCATAAAATACACAGTGCAGATTTCCACGGTTTGCACAAGAGTTTTATAGTAAGTACTCCATAAACGTCAAAACATATAGAGTCAATTCTTGTTTAAACACAAGACATATAATTGCATTGAATTGTTTATTTTGAGATTTTCAGAAAATATTTCTCATACAAGTCTGTACAAATATTTACATGTAATGGGACGACATTTACCAACATCATTAAAATCAGATCTTTTACTCCGATACGATACCTCTCTGTAAAAACACCCGAGGACTCCTCCATAGGAGATCACAACAGAATATGCTCATCCGAATGTTGATTTGTATGGAGGTTTTTGGCTGATTTAAATGTTCCTCCTATGGAAGTGTCCCACATCTTCTCGCAGGGAGGTATTGAGTAACTATCCGGTTTCAATGAGATTGAACATTTACAAAACAACTTTCCCGTGTACAGAATGAGTGGTCTTTAGAACTCACATACAAACTTCATAGTCACTCACACAAAATGTTCATAAACACATAAAATCATAAATTTACATGGAATAAGCAGACGCAAAGCACAAAAATGTAAAAGGTTATCCAGTCACTAGACATCCATGTTACTAAAGGCTGTAATCCACAATTTAAGACTCCTGGTATTCTGATGCATCGAGTGAGTGAGTGAGTGAGTGAGTGAGTGGGGTTTAATGCCACTTTGAACAGTATTTCAGTTATATCACGGCATGTCAGCTAACGTGAGAACAAGTGTGCTCTTTGACATTTACCATTTAAGTGAAACCTACGAGTACAGGTATGGTGCTGACAGACCTGGAAACAATCAGGTCAGACCAGTATTCAAACACACAAGTTTTCTTGCACATCTAAGGGATACCAGATATCTTATTCTCACAAGCTTTCATGAAACTCCACAAGTCAGATTCATATACACATCATGAGTTACAAAGCCTTTAACAGTACATATTGTCCAATGTGTACCACATTTTCCAATCAAAACTTGCATTCTAAGATGAGACAGAGCACAATGGGATCAGATGTCAGTTCTACAGCAGGAAATACAACTTGTTAGGACCATAAGGTTCTAATCTGCTTTGGCTATACCAACAGGTAATATTGACGTATAAATCATTAGAACATATCATTATGATACAGTACACACACAAAGATTTCAAGGGAGCAAGAGAGTCAGTTGGGTTCAATGTCACTTTTAACATTATTCCAGTTATGTCATGGCATGTCCGCTTAATGTGGGAGGAAAGCCCAAAGTGATGCAGGATTTGGATGTTTACCACTTGGGTGAAAGCCAGACCTATGGTTACGGTGCTGACAAACCTAGGTACACTCAAGGGAGATAACTAATAACAGTAACATTTACAGTGACCAGACATGTTTTTGGTGACACCAGAAAGGTGGGGGGAGACTTCCCATTTTTAATAAAAAATGCTTCAGAGGTGAATGTATCCACCATGTTGGCATGAAACGATCGCAGTGATGAATCGGCCAATAAACAGGTGTTGACTAAATGGATTTGCCAGACATGGTCATTTTTGAATGATTAAAACATGATACCAGGACCATCAGGTCTAGAGTGAAGCAATGTGACATGTATGCATGTTCTAACAGGCATTCACTGAATCCATATAACTGACATTTAGTTTTAAAGAGAAAACTGTGATTCTCAGCACTGCTCACCAATCAGCTCGACTCTGTCTTACAGGTCCCCGAGGTATAACGGGTACAGTTTGGTTTAACACTGCTTTGAACAGTATTCCAGTTATATCACAGCATACAGGTCCCCGAGGTATAACGGGTACAATTGGGTTTAACACAGCTTTGAACAGTATTCCAGTTATATCACTGTATACAGGTCCCCGAGGTATAACGGGTACAATTGGGTTTAACACAGCTTTGAACAGTATTCCAGTTATATCATGGCATACAGGTCCCCGAGGTATAACGGGTACAGTTTGGTTTAACACTGCTTTGAACAGTATTCCAGTTATATCACAGCATACAGGTCCCCGAGGTATAACGGGTACAATTGGGTTTAACACAGCTTTGAACAGTATTCCAGTTATATCACTGTATACAGGTCCCCGAGGTATAACGGGTACAATTGGGTTTAACACAGCTTTGAACAGTATTCCAGTTATATCATGGCATACAGGTCTCTGATGTTTACAACTTTGGTGAAATCCACAAGCATGGGTGTGGTGAGTGAGTTAGTTGGATTTAATGCCGCTTTTAACAGTATTCCAGTTACCAGTATATCACTGCGTATCAGCTTAATGTGGACGGAAAGCCCAAAATGATGCAGGTCTCAGACGTTTACTACTTAAGTGAAACCCACGAGTAAGGGCATGGTGCTGACAAACCTAGAAACATAATCAGGAAGGGCGAACCAGGATTCGAACCCACAATCATAGGTTTCTGTTGTACCCAAGGGACGCAACTCTGCACAGCGAATCGTGGCGCCTTAGACGACTGGGCCACCTGTGCCCCCTAGCATGGATGTAGTGCTGACAAACCTAGAAACATAATCAGGCAGGGTGAACCGGGATTCGAACCCACAATCATAGGTTTCTGTTGTACCCAAGGGATGCAACTCTGCACAGCGAATCGCGGCGCCTGAGATGACTGGGCCACCTGTGCCCCCTAGCATGGGTGTGGTGCTGACAAACCTAGACAAGGATAATCAGGGTGATGTAGACGACTTAAGAATGTATTGGCATTTCAGTGAGTATGTCTTTGTGTCCCTTTCACCAATATTCTGCTGATTTCACTGTTTCTTATCAGTGGTTTAACGATACATTTTGTACCTGTTACTATTTGTATCATGATACAAGTGAAATGATACATGTTCTGATACACTTCTCAAATATGTTCTTTTTCAATTTCCATAAGACTTGGTGACTAAACTTATTACTTACAACAGAACAAAATCTTTACTTAACAAGTATGTTTTATTTCAACATGACTGTCTGTTGTTCAGAAATGACCTTTGTGGACCGACTGATGAACCTCAACTTCACATTCGTGATTTTCTTTAAAATGGTCAAGTTTGGCATCATGAGTTCTTGCATGTTTGTTTCATATACACAGTCTCACATCATGGTATGTTACCATAGTTACTGTACCGCTACACCACTCTATATTTGTCATCAGAGAAAACATATTGGTGTCATTAAGTGAGTTAAAATTTAATGTTGACTCATCATTTTTCCAGCTATGTACATTTAAGTTTGAGATCTGAAGACCAACTGCAGACATTCAGTGTCACATCCGTTAAAGATCAAATTGTCTTAGAATATAAGAGATAAACCTACTAAGATTTGAAGTTTGAGGTATGTTATCATATATTGATACCTCTCAATTACAAATTTGAAACTTGTAAAATCAGTTATCAATTGAATCGAGCAAAATCAAACTAAAATAACATGATCCTTCAAGTCTTAATATGTTTATCTCCTGGACCCACTTGCACAAAGCGATCTTAGCGCTAAGATGATCGTTACTCCCCTACTTTAACATAGACTTACGACAGTCTGAGCGCTAAGATCGCTTTGTGCAAGTGGGCCCTGGACTGTTTGAAGTAGCATCATCTATTGTCATGTTCTTTTCTTCAAAGATCCATGGGTTCAATAAAGCTTTGTATTTTGTTGCAAGCAGGACAGAAACAGAACTGAATTTTACCAAGCAAACAAAACACAAAATGACACTTAAAATGTGGTTATGGGTGAGTGAGTTGGGTTTAACACAGCTTTTAACAGTATTCCAGTTATATTGTGGCGTGTCAGCTTAATGTGGGAGGAATGCACGAAGTGATGCAGGTCTCCGACGTTTACCACTTCGGTAAAACCCACGAGCACAGGTGTGATGCTGACAAACCTAGAAACTTAATTGGGACGAACTCGGATTCGAACCCACAATCATAGGTTTCTGGCGTGCCCAAGGGACGCAACTCAGCACAGCGAATCGCAGTGCCTAAGACAACTGGGCCACCTGTGCCCCAAAAATGTGGTTATGGATATTGATTCAAGTGAGTAGATTTCCATGCTGCTATTAGCAATACTCCACCAATATCCAGGACTGGAACCAATAACTTGACATGATAAAGGAAAGCTTCTACACTAGGTTACCCTACAGGTAAGTTCTCTGGGGCTTTATGACAGGTTTGGTCATGTTATGTTTTAGAAAACGTCAACTCAAAACAACGATATTACGAGTATATCATGTCTTGGATGAAAAGGATCCAAAATTTCAGAAAGAACAAAATGTTAACCTACTTAGTTTCTGTAGCAGCCCTGGTTACTTTACTATGTGATGTATGCTTTCAGAGGGTGTAGATTGCCTGTAGATACCAGCATTCTATTCTATAATACATTATGAACATCTATGGCAAAATTTCACTTGTAAAGAAATGTAGATATTCAGGTTGTTACTGTAATAACGAAGTGATTCCATGGCATTGGATTGGCTAAAAAGCAAATTCTTGTCGCGTTAGAAAAAGGCAACGCCCACAAGCAGACTACAGATTCCTCATTGGCTGATAATATAGTGGGCTTTGAAGACAGGTGGGTGGCCACAAGATGTCACTGAGTTTGTATTGTTCTCCATGTACAGTTTTTTGCGTGATAATGATTAAACAAAGAGTCTGTGAAATACTATTGTTGAGTTATATAGAAGAATCAACTTCAATGTTGCTTTGCGTTTATCAGGTATAAACGTAAAAAATGCTGAAGTCAATTCAAAATTAGCTCTGCTTGTTTTTAATCTATATGGCAGTTGCATGATGGGACAGACCAGGCATGTGATCTCAATGAAAGCACTAATGTGTACACGCAAAGATGTTTTGAAGACACAGAAACACTACGATGCACATCACTACGGCAACAACATAAGCAGCAGACAATGTCTGCAAACACATTCGCAGAAGGAACAGTCCCACAGGATAGTAAATACTGTAGTCATTTGATAACACCCTTTTTTCATTTATACTCAAATGATTAAAAAAAAAAGAAGGTCAAATAGAACCCGATAGCAAGAATAGAACAACCAAGTCATCGGGATCTCTGTATGTTATGATACAAATCTCTCATGCTGTAGTTTTTCATGTCAATGTTCATTCCAACTACCACAGGTACATCATTCAGCCATTGAACTGACTGTCATTCACACAATCCCATATACACAAGTGCCTGCTGGTTTGATGGATCCCAGCCCAGGCCCAGAATGCATTTCACCATCCATGGAAAGGTATTTGGTCATCATTGGTTCGATCATCACACAAAAGAACTTCTTCTTTTATTTGGACGGGTGACCAGTCTTATTATTGGCTGTCACATTATCTGGGCCTGGATTGGCCGTGTGTAGCCCACACTCACGCTTCCTGTCGATCAAGGGGCAGATAACTCTGCAGCACTTTCAGGTTATAGTTTCTCATTTGTGTGTCGTATCACAGATCATCAGCTAGCCCCCTCCTCCTCCTTTTTCTTCAATTCCAAAATCAAATCACGGATTTCATCTCGTTTTTTCAACACTATTTCATCCTTGAACCAGTTTTTTAAACTTTTCATCGGCAGTGAGAAGTCCATGATTGGATCCTGCAAAGAGAAGAACAGTTTGCTGCACAACACAAGCCTGGGGACTTACAAACTGAAAAGACTGTCATAAATCTTCATCATCTTCTTGTGTTTGTTTATTTGCTGTTTAACGCCGCACTCAGCAATATTCCAGCTATATGACGGCGGTCAGTAAATAATCAAGTCTGGACCAGACAATCCAGTGATTGACATCACGGGTATCCATCCATGCAATTGGGATATGCTGACATGCATCAACCAAGTCAGTGAGCCTGATCACCCGATCCTGTTAGTCGCCTCTTACGACAAGCATAATCGCCTATTCCGGCAAGCGTGGGTTGCTGAAGACCAATTCTAACCCGAATCTTCACAGGCCCAGCCTGTTAAGTAATGTCTAGGTCAGACAACCAGCCTGTAATAGTCAGGTCACATATTTTAGCCATCCACTCCTCATCAGTCCGTTCTTATGACTTGTCGCTAAATGGTTGAAATATTGCTGATGTAACATTAAATTTAAACTCACTCACCCAGTTCTTATGACAAGCATGGAGAACTTGCAACCTCCAATGTCCTGGAAATCCTGTTTTATTAGATTTGATACAGCTTATGCGTTTATTATTTGTTGTTTAAACATTGCACTCAGCAATATTCCAGCTAAATGGCCGTTGCCTGTAACTAGTCAAGTAAAGGACCTGACAAATCAGTCTACAATGACGGTACTACAACATGCAATGAACCAAATCACTGAGACTGACCACTGATCCATTTCTTCTCATACACAAGCAAGGTTGCATGGGACCTAGTCTAACCCGCAATCCCTATTGCTGTTTCTATAATGAACCTGACCTTGAAGAAGCTCTCGACATACTGCAGGAGGTAGACACCACAATCAGAGTAGTTGGTCTGTTGAGGCACTTTGACAAACCCTCCCTTCAGCTTGTCCTTCACTTGCCGCTTCTCTTTCTTCTTCGTATCCCACTCAACTTGTAGGTAGCTGGAGGAAAGCCATTCAATTATTAGCAAACTAAACTCAGGAACCACATGAGAGACATCTAGACTTAAAGTGATGCATAGGAAAACCATTTCAATTATTAGCAAACTAGCCAACAGTCCAGGTTAACAATATTTCAGATACACTCTGCTGAGTCTTGTAGTCAGATGAGCAAAGAATCTTTGCAAGCCTATGTGGTCCAATTAAACACCAGGACACTTTAAATCATCAAAGCTAGAGTACTTCGAGTTGTTTCTAAACAATCACAATATGGTGAGGTGAGGTGAAATGGGGTTTAACGTCGCGTCCAAGATTATTGCACTTATATAGCGACGTGCATGCACGTGTGTGTGTGTGTGTGTGTGTGTGTGTGTGTGTGGCTGCTTGTACTAGTCAGGACTGATGGCGATTTTATAGTGCTAGCTCACTGAGATACCATGCCGCAGTTTAACATGAATACCCCACTCAGACACAGTATACTGACTCCGAGCCGACCAGTCCTTGTTTTATCCCCTTAATTCCGAGTGCCAGACAGGGTAACAACAAGTACCATCTTTTAAAGTCTTTTGGTATGACCCGGCCGGGGATCGAACCCCGGACCTTCCGCTCTCCGGGCGGACGCTCTACCACAAGACCACGGACAATCACAATATCATCAATAACAACAGGTATGTTTGTGAATGTCAGTAGAACCAACTGGAACAGTGCACATGCTCAACTGGAGTGGGCTTCCCTCCACTTTCTCATCCAAAGTTCTCGACTCACACTAAGAGAATCTTTGTCAAAGACTTACTCTTTTAAAATGCGCACAATGGCACTCCTCGATGGTCCAGCCAAGGAATCATAAATTAGCACACATGCTCTGAAAAACATCAAAACAGAATCAGACTATGTATCCATCAAGATACTTGTAGTACTGTTGTTTGGGCTCTGACGGTCGAGATTAAATGGACTCAGGTCATTCATGTTTTTTTTGCAGTATCACCCTGGTTCATAGTTCACATTCATAGTTCACTTAATGACACTTCTATATTTAAAGGATACTAAATAGTAAATACTATACATAGCTACTTTACACCTAAAAACAACCTTCATTTCAATGGTGCATTCGCAAGCACTGGTATCGTTCCATTAAATCTAGTGACAGAAAGAGTCGAGTAGTTAGTTGCCAAAGCTCAGTGACTGTGCTGCTGAAAGCATTACTTCCCGGGAAAGCAAGTTTTATTTATGTCTGTTTGGAAAATATTATTGTATACTTGTTAGTTGTTAATATGCACAAAAAAGACCTTGGTAAGTATCACAATTAAATGCTACCTAGACTGTGTATCAATGTATCAATGCATCAATGTGTGACTGTTAGTTGTATTGAATTGTAAAAGATCAATCAATCTACTGCATTGTTTCACTAGGTATCGCCCTTCCATACACATCAATGAATCGTCACATTATTATGGATGATGCAAAGACATACAAGACAAAACATCGCAATGTGGCATATTACCATTGAAATTGGGTACTGGTTTTGAGACTGGGTACTTGTGTCTATATTTGTTCTACCTGTCAAGAGTTCTACTGTTGCCAGACAAGTGGACATGATAGTTTGCTTGTTCTTTAACGCCGCACTCAGCAATATTCCAGCTATACGGTGGCAGTCTGTAAATAATCGAGATTGGACCAGACAATCCTGTGAACGACATCACGAGCATTGATCCACGCAATTGGAGTACGATGACATGCATCAACCAAAGTCAGCAAGTCTGACCACCCGATCCCGATAGTCGCCTGTCAACATGATTGAGAAAAACATGCTTTGACAAAATAAGCCCAATATACATCCTCCATTATCCAGTATTATATCTCCATATTATTATAATGAATACTATACTTTTGACTCATCTGCACCTTAGCTTAGCTTAATTTTGAGGCCAGTTGAATGGCAACACTAAAAATAGAAGTCTAATCATGGTACATTTTTCTTTCATGATTTAGTGAGTATGGTTTTACACCTCTTTTAGCAATATTTCAGCAATATCACGGCTGGGGACACCAGAAATGGGCTTCACACATTGTACAAACATCGGGAATCGAACCCGGGTCTTCGGCATGACAAGCAAACGCTTTAACCACAAGGCTACCCCACCACCCTCTTTCATGATTTAAATGATATCACAAGTATTTATCTTTTGTGTGTCCTTAATAAAAATAACTGGAACGTATTGTAGCATATTGGCTTTCCTCCCTCATCTTAAAACTCACGAAAACATCTTCCCAGGTAAAATGTCATTTATCACAGTCTTGTTATTTGTTTTAATACACAGAGTGCTCGCGCAGATGAGGCCAAGATTTTATTCTGAACTCTTCTTTAGATCAGCATTTTGATTGGTTGTTCATTTCAAGCACAAGAGGAAGTGACATTCACTGCTTGGTGATAAGAGGACGCAGGCGGGGACGTCACTTCAAAAACAAAGCTATGGTGCCAAATGGGACCAGGGTACTGATGATTATAGAATGACGACACAAGACACTAGATAATTGAGGATGTACCTCCTAAGCATGGTTAGAGACATAAATTATTCAGACTTGGCAATATTTTGCCATGTTTTCACAACCAACGAATTATTTTCATCCATTGTTTATTGTAACCATGGTTACTTACTGTTTGACTCCGAGGCTGTACTCTTTAGTTTCATCTCCATTGTTCAAGACTTCACTCGGATCTAATGGAGTCCCCCGGATCTCCTTCAACAGAACAACATGCCCCTTGAATCTGTGTGTGACTCAAGCTATCGGTATCAAATACTTGCTAAGGAGGCCTTTTACTAACAAACAAATCCATAACATTTGTTTGACTGTTGTTTAACACCACACTCAGCAATATTCCAGCCACAGGAAACAGCCTGTAACCAAATCTGGACTAGACAAACCAGTGATTGTTGTTGTGATCAACAATCCATGCCATCAAGGTGGAATGGCATGCAGTCAACCAAGTCTGCAACCCCGCCCACATGATCCATCATGTTGCCTCATACAACAAGCAGAGGTTGTAGGACCTAACTCTGTTTGGGCCATCATTAACTATTCATCAATCAACCAGGACCGTGCCACCATTAACTCAGCTCTTCCTTGTTGGGGCAACTAACATTCATGAAGCACTAACTTGTTTGGGCCACCAGTAACATTCATGAAGCACTAACTTGTTTGGGCCACCAGTAACATTCATGAAGCACTAACTTGTTTGGGCCACCAGTAACATTCATGAAGCACTAACTTGTTTGGGCCACCTACTGTAACATTCATGAAGCACTAACTTGTTTGGGCCACCTACTGTAACATTCATGAAGCACTAACTTGTTTGGGCCACCTACTGTAACATTCATGAAGCACTAACTTGTTTGGGCCACCAGTAACATTCATGAAGCACTAACTTGTTTGGGCCACCTACTGTAACATTCATAAAGCACTAACTTGTTTGGGCCACCTACTGTAACATTCATAAAGCACTAACTTGTTTGGGCCACAAAGTAACATTCATGAAGCACTAACTTGTTTGGGCCACCAGTAACATTCATGAAGCACTAACTTGTTTGGGCCACCAGTAACATTCATGAAGCACTACCTTGTTGGGGCAACTAACATTCATGAAGCACTAACTTGTTGGGGCCACCAGTAACATTCATGAAGCACTACCTTGTTTGGGCAACAAAGTAACATTCATGAAGCACTACCTTGTTTGGGCCACAAAGTAACATTCATGAAGCATTACCTTGTTTGGGCCACCAGTAACATTCATGAAGCACTACCTTGTTTGGGCCACAAAGTAACATTCATGAAGCACTACCTTGTTTGGGGCCACCAGGTACATTCATGAAGCACTACCTTGTTTGGGCCACAAAGTAACATTCATGAAGCAGTATCTTGTTTGGGCCACCAGTAACATTCATGAAGCACTACCTTGTTTGGGCCACAAAGTAACATTCATGAAGCAGTATCTTGTTTGGGCCACCAGTAACATTCATGAAGCATTACCTTGTTTGGGCCACCAGTAACATTCATGAAGCATTACCTTGTTTGGGCCACAAAGTAACATTCATGAAGCACTACCTTGTTTGGGCCACCAGTAACATTCATGAAGCATTACCTTGTTTGGGCCACCAGTAACATTCATGAAGCATTACCTTGTTTGGGCCACCAGTAACATTCATGAAGCATTACCTTGTTTGGGCCACCAGTAACATTCATGAAGCACTAACTTGTTTGGGCCACAAAGTAACATTCATGAAGCACTACCTTGTTTGGGCCACCAGTAACATTCATGAAGCATTACCTTGTTTGGGCCACCAGTAACATTCATGAAGCATTACCTTGTTTGGGCCACCAGTAACATTCATGAAGCACTACCTTGTTTGGGCCACCAGTAACATTCATGAAGCATTACCTTGTTTGGGCCACCAGTAACATTCATGAAGCATTACCTTGTTTGGGCCACCAGTAACATTCATGAAGCACTACCTTGTTTGGGCCACCAGTAACATTCATGAAGCACTAACTTGTTTGGGCCACCAGTAACATTCATGAAGCACTAACTTGTTTGGGCCACCAGTAACATTCATGAAGCATTACCTTGTTTGGGCCACCAGTAACATTCATGAAGCACTACCTTGTTTGGGCCACCAGTAACATTCATGAAGCACTACCTTGTTTGGGCCACCAGTAACATTCATGAAGCACTACCTTGTTTGGGCCACCAGTAACATTCATGAAGCATTACCTTGTTTGGGCCACCAGTAACATTCATGAAGCATTACCTTGTTTGGGCCACCAGTAACATTCATGAAGCACTACCTTGTTTGGGCCACCAGTAACATTCATGAAGCACTACCTTGTTTGGGCCACCAGTAACATTCATGAAGCACTACCTTGTTTGGGCCACCAGTAACATTCATGAAGCATTACCTTGTTTGGGCTGGTGTTGACAGTGGTTTGGCTGTCATCTGTATCCATGCTTGTTTCCTCTTTCTGTTCCCCCTCCTCAGTCTCCTCCCCCTCCTCCTGCAACACACAGTCAGTCTCATTCTCTGAATCAATGAAGAATTGTTTAATGCTGCAGTCAGCAATACATTGAGGTCCTGTCACATGACCCACCTTACATTGAGGTCCACTCACATGACCCACCTTACATTGAGGTCCTCTCACATGACCCACAATACATTGAGGTCCTTTCACATAACCCACCTTATATTGAGGTCCTCTCACATGACCCACCTTACATTGAGGTCCTCTCACATGACCCACCTTACATTGAGGTCCTCTCACATGACCCACCTTACACTGAGGTCCTCTTACATGACCCACCTTACATTGAGGTCTCACATGACCCACCTTACATTGAGGTCTCACATGACCCACCTTACATTGAGGTCCTCTCACATGACCCACCTTACATTGAGGTCCTCTTACATGACCCACCTTACATTGAGGTCCTCTCACATGACCCACCTTACATTGAGGTCCTCTCACATGACCCACCTTACATTGAGGTCCACTCACATGACCCACCTTACACTGAGGTCCTCTCACATGACCCACCTTACATTGAGGTCCTCTTACATGACCCACCTTATATTGAGGTCCTCTTACATGACCCACCTTATATTGAGGTCCTATCACATGACTCACCTTACTGTGTTCCTCTGATGTCTCTTCAGTGCTGGGACTTGGAGTCTCCGGCTCCGGGGTGCGGGGAATGTATGGAATATGTTCCTCCTCATTCATGTTGGGGAAGCAGATGATTGCAAGGAACCAATGAGAACTGAAATAAACGTGTGAAACATTGGAGAATGTTTCTGACCCGAGTATCTTCACTAAGAAGATGATGACATCACTAATAACAATGTTAAGGGCAGAAATTCAAATACACATTCACCAAACATATTGTTATGCTATTTCTCTTCAATTCATCATTATTTTCAGGTAAATGGTATATGTTAACCAGATATTTATCCTATTGCTTTAAGAGCAACCATGATCACATGTGTATCTTTAACAACCCTGCTGAATAGGAACAGCTGCACATACTGTTCGTTTATTGGCACGATGATGAAGTCCTTGTCGAACAGATCAACATGGCGAGTCCAGGTCTTCACTCGGGTGTGGCGCCGGATCATGGCCCTGTTCAAAACACAACCAGATTTCTGTCAGATACCAGGAAGTGGAACACAATATTTCCTCTGTTATTGTTTTCGTTTACTATTTACACATAGCAATATTCCAGCTGTATGACATGATCTTGTAAATATTCAAGTCCGGGAAAAACACCTTGGTGACTGATATTATAGTGCAAGCACACCATGCCGCAGTTTAACATGGCCATCCCACTCAGACATAGTGTACTGACTCAGAGCCTATCATTGTTTTAGCCCCTTTATGCCAAACACCAGGCAGGGTAAGAACAAGTACCATCTTTTACCGTCTTTTGGTATGACGTGGCCAGGGATCAAGCCCCCGAGCTTCCACTCTCTGGGCGGATGCTCTACCATTAGACCACGGTGGCGGTCCCCCTAATAATGGCTGGGTCTAAAAGTAAATGGACGTTAACAAGAGCCCAGGCTCTAAACATGCTAACTAGAGGAACTATGGTATTTATGACACCAATTCAAAAAGTACATTTCACATTTTCTGAAGACCCATGCAGGGCAGTAGCATTTAGCTCACACACAGGTACACTGTCTGCTTCCCTGGGTGGCAGCAGGAGACTACACAGCACCCTAATCCAACAGTGCTATCACAACATCATACTTCTTCCCTTAACTCATGAAGATTGGGGTTAGAATTGGTCTTCAGCAACCCATGCTCGTCGAAAGAGGCGACTAACAGGATCGGGTTGTCAGCCTCGCAGTCTTGGTTGATGCATGTCATCATATCCCAACTGCTTAGGTCATTGCTCATGATGTCAATCACTGGTCCAGATTGATTATGTACAGAATGCTGTCACATAGCTGGAATACTGCTGAGTGTACAGTACAAACAAACAAAAACCACTTGCTCTGCTTATTGCTGGGCCAGAATGTCACAAGGTCAGGTATGGAGTTAATAAACCAAGGGTCATAACCAGATGAACTCTTTACTGGCAGATCCTGGAACATCTAAGGGACACAACTCTGCATGCCCTGAGGAACAGGATTTATTCTACCCAGGAATTTCTAGTTATACCAATCATTCTACACTTGCTACTTTACTTGCATGAAGGTGCAAGCTGATACTTATTTAAACAGTACATTGTTTCTGAATAGTAACAAAATTATTTGAAGCGTGAACTTGGTGACCATGGTGAACATGGTGAACATGGTGATAAGGTGAACTCACGGCAACTTGGCTACATCTTCCGGCATACTGTTGCGGGCCTGTTTCTGGGTGAGTCTCTTGTAGAAGAAGGAGCTGAAAATGTGAGTCCGGCTTCGATCTTCTTCACTCAGCTTCTCAATGAATAAATACCTGAAACGTAGTACAACCCACTATACAGTAAGGCTGAATGTATCAATGCACCAGTGTTATATTAAACATCTTACTTGATACATTAAATGTATGCATCGATATGTATCTTCTTTTTTCCATGACCTGCACATCAGACTAATTGACAATTTAGCTTCATCATCTTCATTATGTCATTATTCAATCACATTTAGTATTTGTGTTTTCTTATGATAGCACAAACATTTGGCAAAAAAACTTGTAAAACAAAATTTTCACTGGAGCCCCTTGGGATAATATTAAGCTTTACAACTATTTTGCTCGTATGTTTCACCTACTTGAGATAGAAGTCTATGATGACATCATTGAGGAACTCTCCCTCGTTGAGACAGTAGAGGTCTTCATTGGTGATTGTGATTCCACCTTTAGTTGGTGGCGGGGGATAGGTCAACAACCTGGAAGAACCAGCAACAATGTTACACAATCAACTACTGCTGGTAGGTCAGTGGCATGGAGGTACCAGCAACAATGTTACGCTTGCTACACAATCGACTACTGCTGGTGGGTCAGTGACATGGAGGTAACAGCAACAATGTTACACAATCAACTACTGCTGGTGGGCCAGTGACATGGAGGTACCAGCAACAATGTTACACAATCAACTACTGCTGGTGGGTCAGTGACATGGAGGTACCAGCAACAATTTTACACTTGATACACAATCAACTACTGCTGGTGGGCCAGTGACATGGAGGTACCAGCAACAATGTTACACAATCGACTACTACAGGTAGGTCAGTGACATGGAGGTACCAGCAACAATGTTACACTTGCTACACAATCAACTACAGCTGGTGGGCCAGTGACATGGAGGTACCAGCAACGATGTTACACAATCGACTACTACAGGTAGGTCAGTGACATGGAGGTTCCAGCAACAATGTTACAAAATCAACTACTGCTCTTGGGCCAGTGACATGGAGGTAACAGCAACGATGTTACACTTGCTACACAATCAACTACTGCTGGTGGGCCAGTGACATGGAGGTTCCAGCATCAATGTTACACTTGCTACACAATCGACTACTGCTGGTGGGCCAGTGACATGGAGGTTCCAGCAACAATGTTACACTTGCTACACAATCAACTACTGCTGGTGGGCCAGTGACATGGAGGTTCCAGCAACAATGTTACACTTGCTACCAGGGGTCCGGAAACCGTCATATGCGCCGGACATGTCTGATTGGGAATCTCAAATGTCCGTTTTAAAATATTGCTTACCGGACATTTTAAAAAGTATTGTCCGGACATTCTTACATTTTGACCGGACATGATCAACAGTTAGGACTGAGCAGTTTCTGTCTGCAGTTGCAACACAATGAAGATTAACTACACTGACAAGCTTTGTTTGTTTTGATTGCTGTAAATACATCGTACCTACATGATAGTCCAATCGGTCAATCACTGTAATAGGCAATAAACTGAGTTGACACTGATTAATCGAGGATTAATTACTGAGAACATCTTGTTAATTTGAGTGAAAGGTGTTTACAACTGTACATTAATACCTTGCATCATCGATGTACCTCATTATCCTCACAATGCTACGATACGTAACCTCAGACAAGAAGCGAAAGCGTGACGACAGCCAGTCGACCGATGCAGATCAGTCGAGCGGATCTGCCAAACCCTCAAAGTCTGGACGATCATTTTGTAAGTCGTGGCTAACGACTTTCACTTGGTTGACATACGATGAGGATTTGCAGATTTTATTGTTTTCAGTAGCTAGCCTAGTCGTATATTGAATCTTGATTGACCGCCATTTTGCTTTCTCGGACGATCGATATCCAATTTTTTTATGGTCAATAAATAAGTACAGATGAAAAAAGTATTTAAATAACTATTGCTATCAACGATATTTTTGTATTTGTGATTAAATTATCTGCCTTGTTTTTAAAAAAATCTTTAGTTTAAAAAAAATAATTTCCCGTGAGGTCACGTGATAACCAAATATGGGATAATAGTCTCGATCCAAATGTTACAATGCGTACACTTGAGCAGACTCATGAATATAACTCATGAATATTAATTAGACGGTTCACTACGTTAACAGATCGTTATTATAAAAGAAACAAACATATGTTTTCCATGTAAATCTAAAATGATTTTATTTGTTATTAATTGTCCGGTGAATTAAACAATTTAAATTGAAACAATTCATAATTCATCATATTATGAATACGTAAACTTGTAATGTGTGTGAAAAGTCGTACTAAAATACGCTATTTGAAGGGGGCGTGGCCTAAAAGCAAATGTCCGATTGGGATTTTAAATTTTCCGGACCCCTGCTTGCTACACAATCAACTACTGCTGGTGGGCCAGTGACATGGAGGTTCCAGCAACAATGTTACACTTGCTACACAATCAACTACTGCTGGTGGGCCAGTGACATGGAGGTTCCAGCAACAATGTTACACTTGCTACACAATCAACTACTGCTGGTAGGTCAGTGACATGGAGGTACCAGCAACAATGTTACACTTGCTACACAATCAACTACTGCTGGTGGGCCAGTGACATGGAGGTACCAGCAACAATGTTACACAATCAACTACTGCTGGTGGGTCAGTGACATGGAGGTACCAGCAACAATGTTACACTTGCTACACAATCAACTACAGCTGGTGGGCCAGTGACATGGAGGTTCCAGCAACAATGTTACACTTGCTACACAATCAACTACTGCTGGTGGGCCAGTGACATGGAGGTACCAGCAACAATGTTACACAATCAACTACTGCTGGTAGGCCAGTGACATGGAGGTTCCAGCAACAATGTTACACAATCAACTACTGCTGGTGGGCCAGTGACATGGAGGTACCAGCAACAATGTTTCACAATCAACTACTGCTGGTGGGTCAGTGACATGGAGGTACCAGCAACAATGTTACGCAATCAACTACTGCTGGTAGGTCAGTGACATGGAGGTACCAGCAACAATGTTTCACAATCAACTACTGCTGGTGGGCCAGTGACATGGAGGTACCAGCAACAATGTTACACAATCAACTACTGCTGGTAGGTCAGTGACATGGAGGTACCAGCAACAATGTTACACAATCAACTACTTCTAGTAGGTCAGTGACATGGAGGTACCAGCAACAATGTTACACAATCGACTACTGCTGGTAGGTCAGTGACATGGAGGTACCAGCAACAATGTTACACAATCAAATACTGCTGGTAGGTCAGTGACATGGAGGTACCAGCAACAATGTTACACAATCAACAACTGCTGGTAGGTCAGTGACATGGAGGTACCAGCAACAATGTTACACAATCAACTACTGCTGGCAGGTCAGTGACATGGAGGTACCAGCACGATGTTTCACAATCAACTACTGCTAGTTGGTCAGTGACATGGTAACAGCAGCATTGTTACACCTGTTACATGAACAAATACTGTCGGTGTTCAACAACAACAGACTGACTAACATCATTGTCTTACATGACGATAAGCCAATGTATGGCCAAATCAATGCACAGCAGTGTTTTTCCAAAATAATATTAACAATTATTTCAGAAAATAAAGATTTCCTCTTGGTCAAACATATTATAAAAGCAAAAATATAAGTGAACATGAAAAACAAGAATCAATTGTGCTATCACGTCTACGTCCAGTAAGGAAAAATATATATGAAGCTATTGATCAAAACGATGGCCCACATTGTCATGGCTGTACTCACTTTTCAATTGGCCCACTAAATCCAATCTTTGGTGGTGGTGAAGGTGACCTTGACCCTGCAGAGTTCTCCTTGTCCTCCTGTTTGGAGGATTCTCCCCCCGAGATGGAGGCCATGGATTTCTCCTTCAGAGATGATATGGCTTTATCACAGAGTTTAGAGATCTTATCATTCTTCTTGGGGGTCGTTTCGACCAGAAGCATGTTGGCTTCATCACTCGTGAGGTCTGTGAGGAGGGAGACCTTGCTGGCCGTCATGCGCTGGTAGTGCTGAAACAACATGCGAATGTCCTGTCTCTCGCACTCCTCGATCTTGTTGATGATGATCACAATGTACTTCTGAGTTACATCTGTGGAAAGAGTGCATCAAAACAGACAGAGTGAGTGAATATTTTGTTAAGCCAAACTCAAGCGAAGCAATATCAGGCAAGGTGAAGCTTTCCCCATATAACCAGTATATAACCATACAGTCATCATTTACGTCAACTCATGTGACACTCATGCGACCCTGCTCTGGAATCCCAGGGGGCAAAAATGAATGTTGGAGCACTGTCTGCGGACCCCAGTTCCTAAAGGGCAGTCTCGATTTACAGAACTTGATTTAACTTGCGCCAGTTGCATGATGACATGAAAACCCAGTTGCACCAGGCAAAACCAGCATGAACCTGGTCCCATGAATTTGTCAAAGGTGAAACATAGGCTAGTCTGTTGCCAGTGTCACATAAATTAATGACACATTGTTGTAAACCGTAATAGGAACATTTCATGCCGACAGGATGACGATGTCCAGCCAAAGAAGGTGACAAATTACACATGACACAAGGATTAGTGACAGCATGTTTTACTGGGGACCAACTCTACACCTGAATTCCCTCGGGGACAAGCATGTGTTACTGGTGACCAACTCTACACCTGAATTCCCTCGGGGACAAGCATGTGTTACTGGTGACCAAGCAGTAAAAGCATGGACAGTTTGTCTACACAACAGAAATGAACAAACCCTTGCTGTCAGGAAAGTAGCCCTTCTGATTTGGCTCCTCCATGCTCAGTTCCTGCCGCAGCCTCTCGCCGCACTCCTCGTAGGTGTGGAGGAACATGAGCGGCTGAGACTGCTTGAGGATCGCCCTACAGGACTGTATTTCATCTGCATTCACCTCGAACTGGAACTCCGTCTCACGGTCATCACCTACACAAGTCAAGGTCTCATCAACTCCTCAACAAACACATCTCTTCTAGGGACTTTTAAATCAAATAATGTACTGTGGCTAGAGTGAGAGATTCAGCTGTGTTAGAAACTGTTGATCCTTAAGATCCTACCCCTTTCATCATAATCTAAGGACCCCAATAGCTTAGATTTTAAACACTATCTGACATTATCACTGCAAGGACACGTTGAGTTTGATTCTGACTTTCAAACACTGTCATAGATCGATCAAGATGAGCATGGGTTCCCAGTTTAGTTGCCTCCTACATCTAGCAATGGGGTGCTGGTCCTCACAGAGCCTGTTACAGTAACATCACCTTATCAGATACTGGGGACCTTTTGTGACACAGTGAGTGAATGAGTGAGTTGGGTTTATCGCCGCTTTTAACAGTATTCCAGTTATATCACTGCGTGTCAGCTTAATGTGGGAGGAAAGCCGGAAGTGATGCAGGTCTCAGACGATTACCACTTCGGTGAAACCCACGAGCACGGGTATAGTGCTGACAAACCTAGAAACATAATTGGGGCGAACCGGGATTCAAACCCACATTCATAGGTTTCTGGCGTGCCTAAGAGACACAACTCTGCACAGCGAATCGCGGCGCCTTAGATGACTGGGCCACACGTGGCCCCTATTCTGATACAGTATCCCCATATGTAGACACAAGCATGGGGTACTGGAGACCTATTCTGTCCTGTATCCCCATATGTAGACACAAGCATGGGGTACTGGGGACCTATTCTGTCCTGTATCCCCATATGTAGACACAAGCATGGGGTACTGGAGACCTATTCTGTCCTGTATCCCCATATGTAGACACAAGCATGGGGTACTGGAGACCTATTCTGTCCTGTATCTCCATATGTAGACACAAGCATGGGGTACTGGGGACCTATTCTGTCCTGTATCTCCATATGTAGACACAAGCATGGGGTACTGGGGACCTTTTCTCACACAGTATCCCCATATGTAGACACAAGCATGGGGTACTGGGGACCTATTCTGTCCTGTATCCCCATATGTAGACACAAGCATGGGGTACTGGGGACCTATTCTGTCCTGTATCCCCATATGTAGACACAAGCATGGGGTACTGGGGACCTCTGAAAACCTAAGAAGAAGGGCATGTGGTACTGGGCACATGTTTCTGCCCTGGACTCCACATGTGGAGGCAAAGATAGGTACCTGTTTTGCCCTAGAATCCCCACCTTGGGCTAAGCATGGACACCGATAATCCCCTTGTGAGGATGGAATGTTGGAGGTGTGCTACTTACAGATGACATGGAACTGGAACCCATCCTTGGTGATGGTCACATGCTCCAGGGGCGTGGACTTCATGCAGCCGATGCGGACACTCCTCACGTTCAGCTCCACCGAGATGTCCCGCTTCATCTTCCCCCCAGGTGGGGGCTGCGTCATCAGCTCCGTCTGTCGGACCTTGGGCTTCCTGCCCCGCTTCTTGCCAGGACATTTGCCCGTCTGCAAGTTAATTAGCTTCACTAGTCAGTGGATGGGGGAAAATGTTGCATCGGCGATGTTTCAGACACAAGCATGATAAAAAACATGCATCCAGACTGGTTTGTTTGTTAGTTTGCTGTTTAACGCTGCACTCAGCAATATTCCAGCCATATGACGGCAATATGTAAACAATCAAATCTGGACCAGACATCTAGTGATTGACAATATGAGCAATAATCTACGCAACTGAGATACGATGACATGTGATTACCAAGACACTAAGCCTGAATACAAAATCCATTTCATCGTCTCATGCAACAAGAATAGAATATTGGGGATCAATAGTGCCCCAGAAAACCCATTGGATGCTGGCCGGAGTCAGTTTTTCTAATGTTAGAGTCCTTATATGTTATCACTATTGGACTGGTAACCATGGTAAATATTTAATTTAATTTGCTTTCCCTGAACATCTGTGATACACATCAACAGCTTAACCAAAGGGCAATAATAATATGAATCAAGAAGCTACACAAATTTCAATGACAACACTGGTGACATACAGAGTCCTCCATCTTCTCTCGCCGAGTGAGTGCTGGTCTGGCTGCAGAGTATTTGAAGGGGCTGGAGCAGGGGCTGGTGCTGGGGCTGCCGTTCCTACTGTTCTGCTGGGGGGTGGTGCCTGGAGTGTACGGGGGCGTCATCATTGCGCCATGGGGCACAGACTGGCCTGCGGCTATCATGGCTCTGGCAGAGGCATCTTCCTCGTCGGATGATGATATGGTCACTGTTTCTGGAACAGAGTGTATGGTGCATTTTGCTCTATTATGAAGCAGGTCTTAGACGTTTACCACTTTGACAAAAACCACAAGCACAGGTATAAAAACTCAGGGCGACATACTATCACACAGCTCGACATGGTTAACTTGCAACATGGATACAAGAGACAATGAAAAAGGGAGCGAGTAATTTGGTTTTAACATTGCTTTGAACAGTATTTCAGAAATATCATGGCATAATCTCATTAAAATCCGATCTTAGTGCTTGCAACCGCTAAACAACAATCTGAGGACATCCCATTACCGGTCACGTCAGAACGACATATCATCCGACCAGAGTGTCGCTTACCAGATCAGGAAAGTGAGTTGGCATATGTTTTCTCATCCTGCAACCTCAAAAAGGTTAAAGTGGTATTATGAAGGGATACACATTCAAGCGGAAGAGACTTTTGACAGCCCGTGGAAGTACTGCCATACTATCTGAGTCATCTATTAGACATTCCAGAATTTCCTTTTGTTCAGTTTTCGAAATTTTGAATGAAGAGCTTGGTCACAATATTTTTCATTTTTCAAAGCGTAATCTAGAGTAGAAGTTGCCACTTTGAAACTAGTGCCGTACAGCTCAAGAAAGCTGCTTTCTGATTGGCTAATGTCTACTTTTTGTTGGTCATTTCTTTGGTCAGTCAAAGTTTACAAATGGTCATTCTGGTGTGACCTGTAATAGGATGATCTCAGATGTTTGTCTAGTGGTAGAGATTGATCACGGCGTGTCAGCTTAGAGTGGGAGGAAAGCCAGAAGTGATGCAGGTCTCAGACCTTTACAAACAATGATAAAGATTCAAATTATTGTCAGAATTATAGGACAACTTATTTCATCAAGTTAATAATCGATGACCTTTCATGTCATGTAATGATATGCCTATTTCTGCGGGTTGAAGAAAGTCAGTCTCCTTGTTACAAAGATACTCTAAAGTAGAGGACTGCAAGAGGTATAACACTGCATGGATACAAAGTCTCTAACATGTGTAGTGTAACTGTGGAGGAGTTGGTATACCACGATAAACAGTATTACAGACATATCCTGATTTGTCAAATTAACTTGGAAGAAATGTCCAAAGGACTGAAACAAGTGATTCTTGCTATGCTGACTTACCATCTCATAATCTGAGCAAATCAGAGACTCAGCAAATCCTGCACTGCTAAGGGACACAACTCAGGTGAGGTGAGGTGAAATTGGGTTTAATGTCGCGTCCAAGATTATTGCATTTATATAGCGATGTGCATGTACGTGTGTGTGTTTGTGTGGCTGCTTGTACTAGTCCGGACTGATGCCAATTTATAGTGCTAGCTCACTTACCATGCCACAGTTTAACATGAATACCCCACTCAGACACAGTATACTGACTCCGAGCCGACCAGTCCTTGTTTAAACCCCTTAATGCCAAGCGCCAGACAGGGTAACAACAAGTACCATCTTTTAACGTCTTTTGGTATGACACGGTTGGGGATCGAACCCCAGACCTTCCGCTCTCTAGGCGGATGCTCTACCACAAGACCACGGAGGCGGTGACACAACTCAGCACCATGCAGCTAAAGGCTACTTCAAGCCATAGACAAAATTCCTACCTGGCTCATGTACTCTAGACATCCGCTGAGTTCGGGGCGTTGGCCTGGCATACTGTCTCGGACTACTGTACGTGTTGTTCACTCCCTGCACATTAAAGTCCACCGGGGACGTACATTTCGGAGTGTTTGACGCGTGCAAGGGGTGTTTTTTAACATATGGTTTGCTTTGTTCATTGAGTCGGGCACCGTAGAAGGATTTCTTGTCTATAGTCTTGCCCCCATCTTGGTGCTTCTTCATGATCTTCACATCTGTGGGCAGTTTCCGGTGGCACCGCTCACACTGCTCTATGTCCCCGCTGGTGTAGCCACAGAACTTGCACACCGCAAACCCATCCGCCTAGGAACAAAGTAATCCCACAAATAATAAGCTTCCCGAGGCAAGGGAGTTAACTGATTTTAAAAGTCCAGTTTCCACCCTTGCCGAACCAGCCTAGGCTGCAATAATGGAGTTAGATCACAAATAATAGATAACCAACCTATACACAAATACAGCGAGACTGGGCTTTTTCAGAACTTTATCTTACAGATAATTACAGTGGGAACAGAACTTTGGTTGAGTAAACCTACTTGTTCTCCTGATAAATCTGGGGACAACATCAATACAGAGTGGTCAGTGGCTGATTTAACCTTTACCAATGAAAGATAGAATGCAAGCGTCGCCTTTCTCCAACTTGTTGCGTGAGATTTTGCTTCTGTGGCATATTTTATGTGAATTTATCGTCAGAACTAAGTGATGAAGCTGAGAATGTGTGTGGCTAGTGCTTAATACTGTGAGCAATAACAGCCTGCCTCACCCCCGACTGCTTCTTTGGCTTTGGTGGGTCCCGGGGCCGCATCATCAGACTGTCATCGTTCATGGAATTGATGTCTGTCTTTGGCAGATCTGGGTAGCAAACAGACATATACTGACGGGAGAAAGTTTTGCAACACCTGTTTTGAACCAGACTAAAATGCTCCAAATGTCTGTAAATCTCTCTTCCTCTACAACATGTACAAACCCATAACCATTTCAGTGTGTGCCACACACTTTGGAGTCTGCAAGCTTGAAAATGGCTCTTAAAATCATTTTCAGTAGATTTTGTTACTATGTGAACTATTATTATCTGAGGTTACTGGACCAAACAGAATTTTACTAGATTCAGGCGTCGGACTAGTTGCTCAAGTTGCAGACTGCCATAAGAAGGTCTGGACAAATCCCTGGTTTTGATCTCCAATACTCCTGTGAGTGGGCTTAGTTTAACGGCACCTAGAGCAGCGTCAGAGTTGTATCACGGCATGTCAGCTTCATTTGGGAGTAACCGATGCAGGTTTCAGACATATACAGCTTTGGTGAAACCAAAGGACATGGGTAAACTGCTGACAAACCTAGAAACAATCAGGGCGAACCGGGAATCAACCCAAAGTCAAATGTTTCTGGAGTGCCCAAGCAACACAACTCTGCATAGCGAATTGGGTGGGTAAAACAGGGTTTATAATCACGTTCAAGATTATTGCACTTAAATATCCAGTTAAGTGAATTGGAAGCCTCAGACAACAGGACCCCTTTCCCTCCTCAAGAACATGAAAACCCTTCCCATCACCAGTAATTATTAATTGATTACTGATTGGTGATCCATGTGACAATGTCTGTAGCACGATCAGTGTCTTGTCCAAAATACTGCTGACATTTTGGACAAACGTCATGACATATTTTACTTAAATGGTATTGGCAGACCAAAAACAACTGTAATGATTGTACCAAACTTGTAATGGTTGGCATCTGTGTGTGACCATGATGATACTGACCGCCATGTTTGACCAGTGGTGTATCCTGAGGCTCTCCTGCCATATCTGTTTTGCCGTGACTGTTCGGGCTCAACTGCATCTCGGGGTGGAGGGGAGGGCTGCTCACGGAAACAGATGGGAATGAATCATGTGTACAGGCCGTGTGATATAAACTCGTTCGTTCGTTCGTTCGTTCGTTCGTTCGTGAGTGAGTGAGTGGAGTTTACTGCCGCTTTTAACATGTTCCAGTTATATTACGGTGTGTCAGCTTAATGTGGAAGGAAAGCCCTAAGTGATGCAGGTCTCAGACGTTTACCTCTTTGATGAAACCCATGAGCACAGGTATGGTGATGACAAACCTAGAAACATAATCAGGGTGAACCGGGATTCGAACCCACAACCATAGGTTTCTGGCGTGCCCAAAGGACGCAACTCTGCACAGCAAATCGTAGCGCCTTAGACAACTGGGCCACCATGGCCCCATAAACACATTAACTCATCCAACATGCAAGTACTAAGCATGCTAAGTAACCAATATGACCAACTGATAAATTGCTTCTCAGGTTCTTTGTAATTCCCTTTTAAAGGATCATACATTGAGTTGCCCAGATCTGAAAACACTCCCTCACATAAGAACTGTAACAGTAATCCTCAAAATCACAGCCTTGTTTCCCACTACAGCATTAGTATCTTCTTTAGGCATTTTTAAGACAAACAGGAACAATTACACTTATCAGTTCACATGTACACACAAATAAAGCAGGCTACTTTCTCACACCAATGTCGTGAAAGATATTGTTTGAAAACCAATTGTTTTTATCCATATTGTGAGCAATATCCCACACCATCAAGGTACAATGACACACAATCAGCCAAGTCAACAAGCCTCACACCATCAGGGTACAATGACACACAATCAGCCAAGTCAACAAGCCTCACACCATCGAGGGACAATGACAAACAATCAGCCAAGCCAACAAGCCTCACACCATCGGGGAACAATGACACACAATCAGCCAAGTCAAGAAGCCTCACACCCTCGGGGAACAATGACACACAATCAGCCAAGCCAACAAGCCTCACACCATTGAGGGACAGTGACACACAATCAGCCAAGTCAAGAAGCCTCACACCCTCGAGGAACAATGACACACAATCAGCCATCGAGGGACAGTGACACACAATCAGCCAAGCCAACAAGCCTCACACCATCGGGGTACAATGACACACAATCAGCCAAGCCAACAAGCCTCACACCATCGGGGGACAATGACACACAATCAGCCAAGTCAACAAGCCTCACACCATCGGGGTACAATGACACACAATCAGCCAAGTCAAGAAGCCTCACACCATCAGGGTACAATGCCACACAATCAGCCAAGTCAACAAGCCTCACACCATCGGGGTACAATGACACACAATCAGCCAAGCCAACAAGCCTCACACCATCGGGGGACAATGACACACAATCAGCCAAGTCAACAAGCCTCACACCATCGAGGTACAATGACACACAATCAGCCAAGTCAACAAGCCTCACACCATTGGGGGACAATGACACACAATAAGCCTAGTCAAGAAGCCTCACACCATCAGGGTACAATGACACACAATCAGCCAAGTCAAGAAGCCTCACACCATCAGGGTACAATGACACGCAATCAGCCAAGTCAACAAGCCTCACACCATCAGGGTACAATGTCACACAATCAGCCAAGTCAACAAGCCTCACACCATCAGGGTACAATGACACGCAATCAGCCAAGTCAAGAAGCCTCACACCATCAGGGTACAATGACACACAATCAGCCAAGTCAACAAGCCTCACACCATCGGGGGACAATGACACACAATCAGCCAAGTCAACAAGCCTCACACCATCAGGGTACAATGACACACAATCAGCCAAGTCAACAAGCCTCACACCATCGGGGTACAATGACACGCAATCAGCCAGGTCAACAAGCCTCACACCATCGGGGTACAATGACACACAATCAGCCAAGTCAACAAGCCTCACACCATCAGGGTACAATGACACACAATCAGCCAAGTCAACAAGCCTCACACCATCGGGGTACAATGACACGCAATCAGCCAAGTCAAGAAGCCTCACACCATCAGGGTACAATGACACACAATCAGCCAAGTCAACAAGCCTCACACCATCGGGGTACAATGACACACAATCAGCCAAGTCAACAAGCCTCACACCATCGGGGTACAATGCCACACAATCAGCCAAGTCAACAAGCCTCACACCATCGGGGGACAATGACACACAATTAGCCAAGTCAAGAAGCCTCACACCATCGGGGTACAATGACACACAATCAGCCAAGTCAACAAGCCTCACACCATCAGGGTACAATGACACACAATCAGCCAAGTCAAGAAGCCTCACACCATCGGGGTACAATGACACGCAATCAGCCAAGTCAACAAGCCTCACACCATCAGGGTACAATGACGGACAATCAGCCAAGTCAACAAGCCTCACACCATCGGGGTACAATGACACACAATCAGCCAAGTCAACAAGCCTCACACCATCGGGGTACAATGACATGCAATCAGCCAAGTCAACAAGCCTCACACCATCAGGGTACAATGACACACAATCAGCCAAGTCAACAAGCCTCACACCATCAGGGTACAATGACACGCAATCAGCCAAGTCAACAAGCCTCACACCATCGGGGTACAATGACACGCCATCAGCCTAGTCAACAAGCCTCACACCATCGGGGTACAATGACACGCCATCAGCCTAGTCAACAAGCCTCACACCATCGGGGTACAATGACACAATCAGCCATCGAGGGACAATGACACACAATCAGCCAAGTCAAGAAGCCTCACACCATCAGGGTACAATGACACAATCAGCCATCGAGGGACAGTGACACACAATCAGCCAAGTCAACAAGCCTCACACTATCGAGGGACAGTGCCACACAATCAGCCAAGTCAACAAGCCTCACACCATTGGGGGACAATGACACACAATAAGCCTAGTCAAGAAGCCTCACACCATCAGGGTACAATGACACACAATCAGCCAAGTCAAGAAGCCTCACACCATCAGGGTACAATGACACACAATCAGCCAAGTCAACAAGCCTCACACCATCAGGGTACAATGACACACAATCAGCCAAGTCAACAAGCCTCACACCATCAGGGTACAATGACACACAATCAGCCAAGTCAACAAGCCTCACACCATCAGGGTACAATGACACACAATCAGCCAAGTCAACAAGCCTCACACCATCAGGGTACAATGACACACAATCAGCCAAGTCAACAAGCCTCACACCATCAAGGGACAATGACACACAATCAGCCAAGTCAACAAGCCTCACACCATCGAGGGACAGTGACACACAATCAGCCATCGAGGGACAATTACACGCAATCAGCCAAGTCAACAAGCCTCACACCATCGGGGTACAATGACACACAATCAGCCATCGAGGGACAATTACACGCAATCAGCCAAGTCAACAAGCCTCACACCTTAGGGGTACAATGACACACAATCAGAGGAGTCAAGAAGCCTCACACCATTGGGGTACAATGACACACAATTAGCCAAGTCAAGAAGCCTCACACCATCGAGGGACAGTGCCACACAATCAGCCAAGTCAACAAGCCTCACACCATTGGGGTACAATGACACACAATCAGCCTAGTTAAGAAGCCTCACACCATTAGGGTACAATGACACACAATCAGCCATCAAGGGAAAATGACACACAATCAGCCAAGTCAACAATCCTCACACCATCAGGGTACAATGACACACAATCAGCCTAGTCAACAAGCCTCACACCATCGGGGGACAATGACACACAAACAGCCAAGTCAACAAGCCTCACACCATCGGGGTACAATGACACACAATCAGCCAAGTCAACAAGCCTCACACCATCGGGGTACAATGACACACAATCAGCCAAGTCAAGAAGCCTCACACCATCGGGGGACAATGACACACAAACAGCCAAGTAAACAAGCCTCACACCATCGAGGGACAGTGACACACAATCAGCCAAGTCAACAAGCCTCACACCATCAGGGTACAATGACACACAATCAGCCACGTCAACAAGCCTCACACCATGGGGGTACAATGACACCCAATCAGCCAAGTCAACAAGCCTCACACCATCGGGGTACAATGACACACAATCAGCCAAGTCAACAAGCCTCACACCATCAGGGTACAATGACACACAATCAGCCACGTCAACAAGCCTCACACCATGGGGGTACAATGACACCCAATCAGCCAAGTCAACAAGCCTCACACCATCGGGGTACAATGACACACAATCAGCCAAGTCAACAAGCCTCACACCATCAGGGTACAATGACACACAATCAGCCAAGTCAACAAGCCTCACACCATCAGGGTACAATGACACACAATCAGCCAAGTCAACAAGCCTCACACCATCAGGGTACAATGACTCACAATTAGCCAAGTCAACAAGCCTCACACCATCGGGGTACAATGTCACACAATCAGCCAAGTCAACAAGCCTCACACCATCGGGGTACAATGACACACAATAAGCCATCAAGGGACGACCATGCTGACTGTGCAAACACAGTGTGGACACAAGGTTAACACTTTCCCCAGCTACGCATGCTGGTCGTAAGAGGCCATGGATCAGGTGGTCAGACTCGGTGACTTGGTTGAATGGAACATTGCTAGGCATTAAACAACAACAAAAAGTTACCGTGCAAGCAGGGATGTATCCAGACTAGTGTGGCGCCAGATCCTTCCATTTGGCAGGATGTTCTGGGCGTTGTTCTGGGAGCACTTCTCTGCCAGCATGCCTGCGTTGGCCATGTTGCCATGCATGGAGCTGCAAACAGTAGGGGTAAAACGATACAGCGAGGTCACAATATCATATGTATGGCTATACGCAATTTACGTCAAATTGCATGGAAACTTCTTGACAATTAATATTTCAGAGAAAATTCAAAAGGAACAGCTAGCTTTGGACACGTGTTCGTAGCGGCTATATTTAGTAATGAAACGCTAATTACAACACATTTTGAGATATTTGACTGACAAACACGCTGGAGGTCATTAAACTAGTAGTAAGTCATGTATTTTAGCAAGTGTATTGTCTTGTATTGACAGTAATAAAATCCAGTATCGTATAATTGCATGAAAACTCACAATGCAACGGTGCACCGATGTATTGTTTCACACTTAGCAAACAGATGAGTGCAACATCAATCTAACATTCTGGGTAACCAATCAGATTTCACACATTATGGAAAAAAAACATGGAAAACACAATCAGATTTCAGTGAGATTGAGGGAACTGTCTCAAGAACGTGGGAGAAAACTCTGAATGCCCCTTGGGATGGATGTCATGTACTGAATGCAAGTCATGATAGAAAACACAAAGAGGATGCTAAAGCAGTTCAGACCTATCAGTGTTCAAATTTCCGGGGGTCCTTAGGCAGCATTGCACTTATGGTATTTGAATCCAGGGGCCCCCTGAATCCTTAACTTTTAACATTAGGGGTATGACAAGGATGCCTTGTCATTCATGGTTTATTTTGAACACAGGTAAACATTATACTTCAGATGTACAATGAATATGTAACTTATTTCAGTAAGGTAGTTCTGACTTTCTAACACAGGTCATTCATGCCTTCAACCTAGACATTAGAGACATATAGACACACGCAAACAAATCTTACCGTCCTTTCATCACATTCATGGAGTTGGCATCAGCAGCAGACATGAGCAGCCCTGTAGCGTTGCCCTTGAGAGGTCGTCCCTGCATCTGACCTTGACCTCTTCCCCTACTCTGACCCCGACCACGCCCCCTAGCTGTGTTCCCTCTACCCCCACCAATAATGTTGCCACCACTGGCATTTAACTTGCCCTGAAAGTTAACTGGAAAAAAAAGAAAAAGAAATCACTGTGATGACTAAAAACAGCTTGCCACCTGCAATTGTATCACATCAAAGCTTGTTTGTTTGTTGTTTAACATCCAACTCAGCAGTACTCCAGCAGAGTGACAGTTGGGACCAGGTAATCAAGTAATTGCTATTACGAGAAACAATCCATGCTATCCACCATGACAACCATTAATGTCTAAACATGTCTAAACACACTAATTCAACCATAAGCAAATGATTACTGATTCTGCCAACCCACATAGTGCTAATCATGCTTCAAAAATGATAAGTTAAAAGAAGAACAACATCATGCTAAAAAAGCACCTGAGTATACAATAAGATAAACAACCTGCTGAAAGGCACCTGAGTATACAATAAGATAAACAACACGCTGAAAGGCACCTGAGGATACAATAGGATAAACAACCTGCTGAAAGGCACCTGAGGATACAATAAGATAAACAACCTGCTGAAAGGCACCTGAGGATACAATAAGATAAACAACCTGCTGAAAGGCAGCTGAGGATACAGTAGGATAAACAACACGCTGAAAAGCACCTTAGGATACAATAGGATAAACAACCTGCCGAAAGGCAGCTGAGGATACAATAGGATAAACAACCTGCTGAAAGGCAGCTGAGGATACAATAGGATAAACAACCTGCTGAAAAGCACCTTAGGATACAATAGGATAAACAACCTGCTGAAAGGCAGCTGAGGATACAATAAGATAAACAACCTGCTGAAAGGCAGCTGAGGATACAGTAGGATAAACAACACGCTGAAAAGCACCTTCGGATACAATAGGATAAACAACCTGCTGAAAGGCAGCTGAGGATACAATAGGATAAACAACCTGCTGAAAGGCAGCTGAGGATACAATAGGATAAACAACCTGCTGAAAAGCACCTTAGGATACAATAGGATAAACAACCTGCTGAAAGGCACCTGAGGATACAATAGGATAAACAACCTGCTGAAAGGCACCTGAGGATACAATAGGATAAACAACACGCTGAAAGGCACCTTAGAATACAATAGGATAAACAACCTGCTGTAAGGCACCTAAGGATACAATAAGATAAACAACCTGCTGAAAGGCACCTTAGAATACAATAGGATAAACAACCTGCTGAAAGGCACCTGAGGATACAATAGGATAAACAACACGCTGAAAGGCACCTTAGAATACAATAGGATAAACAACCTGCTGTAAGGCACCTGAAGATACAATAAGATAAACAACCTGCTGAAAGGCACCTGAGGATACAATAAGATAAACAACCTGCTGAAAGGCACCTGAGGATACAATAGGATAAACAACCTGCTGAAAGGCACCTGAGGATACAATAGGATAAACAACCTGCTGAAAGGCACCTGAGGTTACAATAGGATAGGGCTGCAACGATACAGGATGGTCACGATACGATACGCATCTCGATGTTCTGGTCACGATACGATACGTATCTCGATACGCAGTGATACAAAAACAAGACTTAAAGCATGTCAAGATTGAACCTTTCATGATTTTGGAACAGTCAACATTATTTTATAATAACATGACTACTGAAGATGTCAAGCTTCAAAGTGGAACTTTCCCTAACTTTCCTTCAAAACAATTCAAAGTTCAAACACCAGAAAATAATTATTGTATTTCACCAGTGATACAACTTCAAAGAATTTTTATGCAATGGTCGAAGAAATTGTAACTGAAATTATTGTTTTATCAGGAATAATATATTCCAATATCGTGTTACTTTAGTTGCAGCTTTTACTGTATATGTATTTAAAATTACAAAAAAGCGTAGCATTTCGGTACTGGTGATTCCTGTTGCAGGATATTTTTTACGCATGGAACAATTTGACCAGTCACCGCAGGGACATCCCGCGCGACATGTATTTCGATTGCGAAAATGTTACCCGGTATGTTGACATATATTAGCCAAATTGACACAAATATGACTTTTCACGAGTCAAAGTATGTCATTTTTAATATATGTATCCATTCTTTAGCAACAAAAGTTCGTTTCAATGCGTCAAAAGCGGTAATCTGACCGTGGTTGCTGTATCTCTTCACACATGAGTTCACCTAACTTAATGAAAACAATATAAAATGAAATTTTGAATAAAATTAATAAAACATATTACAAACACATGTCCAGATATACAATGAACACATTTTAATAACAAGATAGTATAATGATGGTATTGAATTGCGTACTTCAGTTCGGTTTTGTTGCCTGGTATTTCCAGTGTTGTGTGGTTGCAGTGATCAGCTGATAATGTTTTTGAGATGGGGAAAAACATCTGTCAGTGTAAAACCTGAGCTTATTAAAAATGTAAGTACGCTTTGGGGAGCCATGCGTTACCGCGCGCTATAACCAAGTTAGCGGTTTATTGAAAGGCACAATAGCGAGGAAACGCTGTGCTTGAGATTTGCGTTCCGTATCGTGGCATATCGATGAATAGGCCCACGTTTATCGTATATCGTATAGTGGGTCAAGTATCGCGATGCATCGGAATATCGGTGTATCGTTTCACCCTTACAATAGGATAAACAACCTGCTGAAAGGCCCCTGAGGATACAATAGGATAAACAACCTGCTGAAAGGCACCTGAGGATACAATAGGATAAACAACCTGCTGAAAGGCACCTGAGGATACAATAGGATAAACAACCTGCTGAAAGGCACCTGAGGATACAATAGGATAAACAACCTGCTGAAAGGCACCTGAGGATACAATAGGATAAACAACCTGCTGAAAGGCCCCTGAGAATACAATAGGATAAACAACCTGCTGAAAGGCACCTGAGGATACAATAGGATAAACAACCTGCTGAAAGGCACCTGAGGATACAATAGGCTAAACAACCTGCTGAAAGGCACCTGAGGATACAATAGGATAAACAACCTGCTGAAAAGCACCTGAGGATACAATAGGATAAACAACCTGCTGAAAGGCACCTTAGGATACAATAGGATAAACAACCTGCTGAAAGGCACCTGAGGATACAACAGGATAAACAACCTGCTGAAAGGCACCTGAGGATACAACATGTACAATAGGATAAACAACCTGCTGAAAGACACATGAGGATACAATAAGATAAACAACCTGCTGAAAGGCACCTGAGGATACAATAGGATAAACAACCTGCTGAAAGGCACCTGAGGATACAATAAGATGAACAACCTGCTGAAAGGCACCTGAGGATACAATAGGATAAACAACCTGCTGAAAGGCACCTGAGGATACAACAGGATAAACAACCTGCTGAAAGGCACCTGAGGATACAACATGTACAATAGGATAAACAACCTGCTGAAAGACACATGAGGATACAATAAGATAAACAACCTGCTGAAAGGCACCTGAGGATACAATAGGATAAACAACCTGCTGAAAGGCACCTGAGGATACAATAAGATGAACAACCTGCTGAAAGGCACCTGAGGATACAATAGGATAAACAACCTGCTGAAAGGCACCTGAGGATACAATAAGATAAACAACCTGCTGAAAGGCACCTGAGGATACAATAAGATAAAGAACCTGCTGAAAGGCACCTGAGGATACAATAAGATAAACAACCTGCTGAAAGGCACCTTAGGATACAATAAGATAAACAACCTGCTGAAAAGCACCTGAGGATACAATAAGATAAACAACCTGCTGAAAGGCACCTGAGGATACAATAGGATAAACAACCTGCTGAAAGGCACCTGAGGATACAATAGGATAAACAACCTGCTGAAAGGCACCTTAGGATACAATAAGATAAACAACACGCTGAAAGGCACCTTAGGATACAATAGGATAAACAACCTGCTGAAAAGCACCTTAGGATACAATAGGATAAACAACACGCTGAAAAGCAGCTTGAGATACATTATTTAGGATACAGGATTTTCCACAAAGAAGGCTGTATCAAGAAATGAAAGTATTGCCTTACCAAAAACCAAAATGGACAAAACCCAATGTCATCATCTCACATTTAATAATGAACAAAAACACCATTAACACCATTAACATTAACTGCAAACATTGAAACATTGATGCTCATTTTCTAAAATAATTACCTGATTCCTTCATTGGTTCCAGACCATTTGCTGTATATTTAGCAAGGAAACCTCCAGTTCCATTGGACTTTTTAACAAGGTAAACATATCCTTTCTGAAAATTCTGTCCCCTGACAGATAAAGTTTGTTGCGTATCGCACTGATCATTGAAACATTGATGCTCATTTTCTAAAATAATTACCTGATTCCTTCATTGGTTCCAGACCATTTGCTGTATATTTAGCAAGGAAACCTCCAGTTCCATTGGACTTTTTAACAAGGTAAACATATCCTTTCTGAAAATTCTGTCCCCTGACAGATAAAGTTTGTTGCGTATCGTCTGAGAATGTCTGTTGTCCATCCGAGTCCTCAATCTGATGGGCTATGTTCAAGCCTCGCTGTGCCGGGTTCATCATGCCCTGATGCAGCAGAGATGCACTGGACAGATCCTGCTGTTGATGTGTCGTCTTTATTTGTTGCTGTGAATTGTTCAACATCTGATGCTGAGGATTCATTGAATTGAATATCTGCGATGCATTCATGCCTTGTTGATGCTGTGGGGTGTTCAACAACTGATGCTGTGACGTGTTCATAATATGCTGCTGTGGGGATGCACCGGACATATCCTGCTGTTGATGCGTGCTCATCAAGGTCGGAGAATGTTGTTGTCCAAAATCGCACTGATCAAAATTTGAGGGAGCGGACACATTGTAACGGACATCTTGAGGTGACTGCTGAGGGTAGGGACTACCCCTGTATACCTGATTAGGAGTCCCAATCACAGGGCTAGATCTAGCATCTTCACTAGACATCGTCAGTGCCACCTCACCCACATTCTCACTGAAATGAGGTGAGGCAGATTCATATTCTCTTATCATGGACATTCCTGGACTCTGAACTGTGTTTTTGGAATATTTTGTCTTTGGTGGAGTTGCTATCCGGTTCATAAAGCCTTCCGAAGAAGCTTGACTAGATGAGCTGTACATTTCTGGACTCAAAGACGATGTTTGGTCAGAGATTTTTGAGGGGGTAAAACTGTTGAAGCTTGATGGAACAGGGGAACCCGAAAAGCTGTTCTCGCTGGAGGCGTACTGATGCTGGGAAAACTGATTGTGCTGATACTGTGTGGTAGAAGTCTGCTGCTGGACATGTCCTGTCGGGGAGAGCTGGATCGACGTCTGCTGCAAATGCTGAGCAGTAAGTGGCGTCTGCTGAATGTGCTGAGCAGGTGATTGTTGGATTGACGTCTGCTGATCACGCTGAACAGTTGTCTGCTGAACCTGCTGGACATGCTGAACTGGGGATTGCTGGAGTGAAGATGTCTGAAAGGCATGTTGAATGGAAGTTGATGGAGCAGAATACTGGACATTCGGACTCGTTGTAGTGTGGAGAAAGTTCCCTGACTGTTCCTGTGGTGATGGGATGTAGTCCATGGGGGTCTCAGCTTGGTAGGCAGCTGGCTGGGCAGGGCTGGGGCTAAAGTCAGAGGGCACGAGATACTGATTGCTTGAGGAGCTGGGGATGGAGAAGATGTCATCCCCTAACTGAATCTGGATGGTATTTTCAGTAGTTCGAAGTTGTTCCATCAAGTTCACTGCCTGATTCTGACTTGTCTGATCAACTAGCATCACTTCTCTGAAGAAAAGAAAGGGACATCAGAATAGTGAAATGATGAAACTAACTCATACTTAGTAAATACATATTACCAGTGATTACAAGTTAGATTTTGCCATTAGTCTGAAACCAGAAAATCCCAAATGAGGTTGGTGGTGGTGGTGATGGTGGTTGTGGTGATGGTGGTTGTGTGGTTTATCATTGTTTATTGCCATATGTTATCGACTATTTACTATAAGTTCTTCTTGGTTAATTTCAATCCCTGTAATCATGGTAATACTATCAACAACAGAAAATGTATATATGTTCCGATTTATGGTCAATCATCAACCAATCATCAAACCAATAAACAATCCAGACATGGGTTTGAACAGTATACCAAATTCATGCAATGATATGTATTACATCATAGCCATACAGTACTTCAGCTAGAACTTCACAAATAGGTTGAAACAAAGGATAACAAAATCAAGGGTATGGATGACCCAGTCCTGAGGTACCACAATATGCTGTTGCCTTCCCTAGCCGTGCCAGGATCCTATGACTGTAGGCCCTAAGCCCTGATAATGAATCTTGGTTTGTCAGCACCATACCCATGCTTGTTGGTTTCACCAAAGTAGTAAACTTCTAAGACCTGCATCATTTCAGGTATTCCTCCCAGACACACAGCGTCATAATTACAATATGTTTAAATCGGCATTAAGCACATCAACACACACACACGATAGATGAGGTGAGGTGAAATGGGGTTTAACGTCGCGTCCAAGATTATTGCACTTATATAGCGACGTGCATGTACGTGTGTGTGTTTGTGTGGCTGCTTGTACTAGTCAGGACTGATGCCAATTTATAGTGCTAGCTCACTGAGATACCATGCCGCAGTTTAACATGAATACCCCACTCAGACACAGTATACTGACTCCGAGCTGACCAGTCCTTGTTTTAGCCCCTTAATGCCGAGCACCAGACAGGGTAACAACAAGTACCATCTTTTAACATCTTTTGGTATGACGCATCCGGGGATCGAACCCCGGACCTTCCGCTACCCGGGCAGACGCTCTACCACTAGATCACGGAGGGGGTCCACACACACGATAACATAATCCCTTTGAAGTTTGGTAGGACTACTAAAAATAGTGATTTTCTTTGTCTGCTGGTACTTGGGGATAACAAAATGATGTAGGCTTCAGATACGTACTCTGATCCCTCAGTAGCTTCTGTCTTGATATCTTCCATGGGCTGCGGTAGCAGACCCTCGAGTCTCTGGGACTCCCCCCAGCTCCCACTGCTAGCCCCTGAGCTGGGGCTTGTCATTCTACTGATGGAGGGCTGGGACTGGTAGCTGACAAACTGATTAGCACTGGTCCATCCTCGGTCCGGGGATAATTCCTGCTCTTCCAAAGCTAAATTAAAGAATAGGCAAAGCATAAAACTAAACAGATGGTAGATTTGCCCCTGTCTATCCTACATAAGGAAATAATTCCTGCTCATCCAAAATTATAATAAAGAATATGTATAGCCTTGTAGATAGTGAGTGAGTGAGTTGGGTTTAACACCACTTTTAACTTCCAGTTATATCACTGTGCGTCAGCTTAATGTGGGAGGAAAGCCGGAAGTGATGAGTGATGCAGGTCTCAGACGTTTACCACTTCGGTAGCATTGTATATAAACAAGAAGCTAATGCAGGGTAATAAATAAATGATCTTTAGAGTTCAGCACCACAACTTTCTCCGAATGAGATGCAAACCGAAGACTTTACTCATGATATATTAACTTTCCACAGGGTTCCAAACTGAGCCTCATGATGTTCCACCAACCTGGTATTGCTTGCGCATGTGTGCTCATAATTCCTTCCCATGATTTGTTTCTTTTTTGAATGCGTCACTCAGCAATATTCCAGCTATATGAAGGCGGTCTGTATAGGATCGAGTCTGGACCAGACAATCCAGTGATTAACCTTGTGAGCACCGATCCATGTAATTGGGATACGATGACATGCATCAACCAAGCCAGCGAGCCTGACAACCCCATCCCATTAGTCACCTCTTACGACAAGGAATGTCTGCAGATACGGAGGCTGATATCTTAAATGAACTGTCTGCCAGATGAGGTGTAGTTTGTAGAGTTAAGCAAATGTTTTGTGTATGAAATTTAAGACAAAGTGATATGTTCACACTCAGCCAAAGACAATGGCTGGCTGCTATCATAGGACTAACATAGTGTGTATGAGGACTGCTATGCATGTTGATGTGCATGTATATGGCCAAGGTATTGTCATGTGGCTGTGAACTTCCTTGTGTAATATTGTAAGCGAATGTCATGACTGGTCTCTCTTTCCTCTGGGAGACAATTCCTGCTCTCACAAAGTGAAAAAAAACAATAAAGAGTGTTTGAAATTAGTAACCCTTTCCTAATCATGCTAATCATGTTATAAATTCATAAATTTTCCTCCACCTACTAATGATTTTGTTTGTATATTTGTCATTTAACGCTGCACTCAGCAATATACCAGCTATATGACAGCGGCCTTAAATAATTGAGTCTGGACCAGACAATCCAGTGACTGACATCATGAGCATCGATCCACGCCATCATGGCCATTGGGATACGATGACATGCATCAACCAAGTCAGCGAGACAGACCACACGATCCCGTTATTCGCCTCTTACTGCAAGCATGGTTTTGCTGGAGACCTATTCTCTACCCAGATATTCACGGGTCAGCTACTGATGAACAGACATGTTCTTTCAATATAAACTGTTTGCTGGGGGAACAAAACAAAAACTTTATGCAAAGATAGATTTCCACAGACAGAAATCTGGAGAAAAGATAGGTCATTTTGTGATGGAATGAATCACTTTTGGATTGTTTGGGTCTTGTTCTTCAATAACCAAAATGGAAGGTTACCATGGTCAATATGTCAACATTTGTCAAGAAGTATGCCCTTGCAGACTGACTTGGACACTAAAGTAAGAATGTGTTCACTGACACTAGTGTACTATTATATCATGGCCATGTGGACTTCATAGTGTCTTGTCATGACAGAGTGCAACCTTTGCAGAATTGGTTTTGTCTGGCTAACAGATATTATGCTAAAAATATTTTCCAAGGTTTATTCTCATGTTAACTTTTGCAGTTCCAATAATGCTAATTTGCAATTATAAAATCTTACTTCGCTATGAAATGCCACGTTTTAACTCTGCATAACACAGTTCTATTAGTAAACACGGTGAAAATTATCATGAAAATGGCAAATGTGCCGCCATGTATATGACACATTTTCCTTTTCTTTTCGAAAATATTGATGAAATACATTTACAAATGCAACCAATTCTATCATTAAGCACTTACCTGTTAAAAGAGACATTGCAGTATATTCATCCTGAATAAGCGAGAAGGAAAAAGACGAATTACAAATGTAAATATTTCACAGGCTAAGAATCATTTCTCGCCACCATAACACGACTCGTTTCTGGAATGTCGCTACATTCATTCCATGGTATTGTGAGTATACATCTATAATTTTATATTGTAAAGGGCATCATTGCAGAATACTGGTGCTACCTGTTGTGTTCATTTTGTTATAAACGTATAAAAATAAGTATTTTACGACATATTAAAAAGCCATCCAAAAGTTCCCGCCAAATATGAATAGGCTCGATGCGCACTGATTGCCCAATGAGATTGTGCAGCGCGTTGACTTGCGACTCCGTTCCCTCAATACATTTACAATATAATATGTAGTTTCATAACTTTATTTGATATTATTTTATTTTTTATTACCACGGTCCATTTCTTACGCAGGTATAAACAGTTGCATTAAAATAATTATTTGATATGTAAATAACGATTTTCACACTGTGCAACTATGCATTTATTATCGGTCTGTATGGTATATTTTCGAACAGTTTTCCTATTTTGGCAATGCTTGTATGCATTGGGGGGGGGGACCTTATACCGGATCACTTATACAAATCGAAACGTGCAAATGTTGAAGGGTTAATTACTGATGTCTTGAGGTTGGCTAGTAATTTCGTCTGTTTGCGTCGGCGTGGGGTAGTTTAGTGGTTAAAGCGTTCGCTCGTCACGCCGAAGACCCGGGTCCAATTCCCTACATGGGTACAATGTGTGAATCCCATTTGTGGTGTCCCCCCGCCTTGATATTGCTGGAATATTGCTAAAAGCGGCGTAAAACTATACTCACTCACTGACTATTTTAATGGTGGCTGACGTAAGCTGGAAGTTGGTTACAGTTTCCTGATTGGTGTTAGCAGAGGCTGGCCATTCCTGGGAATCTAAACTGAGCTAGGGTCAAAAGAATCTCTACCTCTCAATTGATCTTATCATATGTTTGATTTTCAATGGAAAATACCTTAAGTTAGCGATATTATATCCCCAAATGAACTGTACTGGCGCTCATTGAGCACTCAAAGAATACTTCTACAGGTTTTATTTTTTTAAATATAAATTCATTTCAAACTATATATGAAATAAAAATAATATTGAATATTAAAACAATGCAAAATACAAACCTCATATTTGAAAATCAATAAATTTGCTGTTTTCCGGCACAAATTTACATTTCAAACACGGTAGGGGTCACGTGGTTGCAAATTCATTTCTTAACCCAGCGTTCGTTGAACCAATGTATTTTAACACAACATTTCACAGCCACAGATTACTTTTTATAGATCAGAGACCATAAAACGTATTTAATGGTCTCTGCATAGATCGACTCTGATTATCCTGGCGATGCTTGTTTCACGCGATGCCAGTGCGAGCAAGAAGAAATATTGGCGAAGTAATTGGGAAGCACGGATGAAGAACAGGAGGATAAACTTTGTCATGGTATTAAAGGATCACTCGCGTCAAACGTAGTGGACTGGCTTTTTCGGGGGTTTTAAATTGTGACTTGAGCCGGAAGTTGGTTACATTCTTATTGACTGGTTTTCGTGTTGAGCTGCGCGCTCCCCACGTGTTATATATACATGTTGTATATATGTACATGATATGTCATGGCCACTAGTGCCGATGTTTGTTTTCAAACATTCTGGATGGATCCAATTTATGACAATTGAATTAGTGGCCTAGTAAGGGAACGTCATTATGCCAGTAGGTTGGTGTGCCGTGGGTGGGTGTCTTCGGCAACCCATGCTTGCCGTAAGAGGCGACTAACGGGATCGGGTGGTTCACTGACTTGGTTGATGCATATCATCGATCCCAATTTTGTGGATCGATGCCCATGTCAATCACTGGATTATCTAGTCCAGACTCGATTATTTACAGACCGCCGTCATATAGCTGCAATATTGCTGAGAGCGGCGTTAAACAACAACAACAACAACAAAGAAAGAAAAAAAGGGGCGGTGGCCACCCATAGGACCACAAAAAAAAAACTGAATGAGTTGATGGTAGTTGGCTGTATAAACCAATGTACAGTCATGGTTGTTGGAATAATACTTCCTGGGTAGTTGGTATAACAATGTTACATTGATTTTAACATACACAGCAGGGACATTGACGAAGACTTCTTGTTGAAGACATTTTAGGCCGTTTTGTTAGTCCATGTATTTCCTCGTTTTATATGAGCTACGTATCTTGTCTGGGCAGCGAGTGGCCTTACATGTTAAGAAATAACGCTTTAACTCTGTTATTGAATAAACGCGACAAAAAACAAAATTTACAAAACCATAAAAAACATTGTAAGATTCCAACTATATTATAAGCAGGTGTTTATGAATTACTATCAAATTGTGATGATAGATTAAATCTGTCCTCATGTATTACGCACTGCACTAGATGGGTCTTGTGGACAGACTGGAGGTACTTAATGACAACTCCTAACAACATTTGAATGATAATAGGATCTGTTTAGTTCAGTTGCTAGATAAAACATTGATAAATCAGGTAAGTTAATTTTGTCAGATGGAAAGCTTGCAGGACCATAACCATCCCCACCCCAACTATCTGCAAAATGTCATAATGTTTTATTGATATCATTGTTTATTTTTGAGAATTTACGACATTGAATCCCGTCTTGCCCATAGTAGAAAAATATTCTGTATTAAAATGTTGCAACAAATTGGACAATTGCTGTCGTGGGAAATACCACAAGGGACTGATAAATAAACTGTGTTTGTATTATTCATCGGTGCTATGGTACCCGTGTATGCCAGTTGTTTTCTGACGAGTCTGCGCGTACATACATGTGTGACAGGACACAGTATCAGAGGACGAGCACGTGTGTGGTGGAGCTGCGGAAATGATACACAACAGCCTAAACACAGCGAGTAGAAGACATGCACTCTGTACATCAGACTCTCATCGTCATTAATCCTGCAAGGTTAAAGGCCTTACAAACATGATCCACACCACATTCGATATATTCTTGACAGCAACCCGGCGGCGTACCCCCTTTAATCATAAGCCCCCTCCGGACCCTTAACCTCCCTGTTATCTATACATGTCAATTAACACCTTGCGTCGCCGGATCTTAGGTATGCACATGGGTCACTTGCCTTGCACTATGTTATTTAATAACTCTACCTATTAAACCCTCACAACATTGTGAAACAGGAAATAGAAATCTATCAACACAAAAAGAGAAATCTTATGAATATTAAACAGAAATCTTATCAATACTAAAACTCCCAATAAATCCACCCTCACACACACGTCACAAAGAGTGTTGGGTCAGCTTGAATTGCTATTAAGCAGTGTTAGAAATTGGCACTAGTCCTGTAGTCCTTACCAAACTGCCCAATAGTAAAGGTATCCTAAGGGCTAGTAGAAATTGGCCCATTTCAAGGGTTTTGCTTTATGTTATCATTATAAGGACTAGTGGACAAAAACTGTTAGTTTCTAACCATGTTAAGGCAGAGGGCGAGCTCTTAGATACTTTAAGCAACAGACGTCATCGACAGGAGATGAGGGACTGTACTGGCGGCTACGGCGACCGCACCACCAAGGAGTACCTCAACGATGGAGAATCGCCCTCCAACTTCCTGTATGTGCCTAAGTGACAAAGCAGCACACCTGGACATTGGTCACTGGGTCCGGTGTGCGTTTTGTCACATGATGACTATTTCGACCTTTCTCAATCTGCAACAAGACACCTGGCTCCTGTCGTCATAATCTTCTCCCCTAAGGTTTGTCTTCCCTGCTCTTGAACAAATGGTGGAGAATCCGGGAATCTGGGCACCCCCGGATCGAGTGGCCAGGTACTAGCATCTGGTTTTGTCGTCCACTTCCAGTCATCTGGTCTGGTGGGATGCATTCGTCCACTTCCAGTCATATGGTCCGGTGGGATGCAATCGTCCACTTCCAGTCACCTGGTTCGGCGGGATGCAATCGTCCACTTCCAGTCACCTGGTTCGGCGGGATGCAATCGTCCACTTCCAGTCATCTGGTCTGGTGGGATGCATTCGTCCACTTCCAGTCATCTGGTCTGGTGGGATGCAATCGTCCACTTCCAGTCACCTGGTTATGTGGGATGCAATCGTCCACGTCCAGTCACCTGGTTCGGCGGGATGCAATCGTCCACTTCCAGTCATCTGGTCTGGTGGGATGCATTCGTCCACTTCTAGTCATCTGGTCTGGTGGGATGCAATCATCCACGTCCAGTCACCTGGTCTGGTGGGATGCAATCGTCCACGTCCAGTCACCTGGTTCGGCGGGATGCAATCGTCCACTTCCAGTCATCTGGTCTGGTGGGATGCAATCGTCCACTTCCAGTCATCTGGTCTGGTGGGATGCAATCGTCCACTTCCAGTCACCTGGTTTGGGGGGATGCATTCGTCCACTTCCAGTCACTTGGTTTGGAGGGATGCATTCATCCGCTTCCAGTCACCTGGTTTGGCGGGATGCATTCGTCCACTTCCAGTCACTTGGTTTGGAGGGATGCATTCATCTGCTTCCAGTCACCTGTTTCGGCGGGAAGTACTCTTCTGCTTCCAGTCACCTGGTTTGGTGGGATGCATTCGTCCGCTTCCAGTCACCTGTTTTGGTGCTAGAACTTCCTTGCTCAGTCTGTATCTGCCATCTGTAGTCGGCATGTTTGAGCACAAACACCTGTGTAGGGTCCACTGAAAACAGTGTTGCAAAAGCTGTGGATGTTTGTGTTCATATAATTGTGAACTCATTTGCCTTTATAATTTCACTGGTCCAAAATGAACGAAAATGTTTTGAATTGGGTGATTGTTGTTTAATACTGCAGCAATATTCCAGCTATGTCACAGCAGAGATAAGTGGTTGACAGCATGAGCAACAGATCAAGCTATCTATACATGCAAGCAGCTTGGTTGACCGCATAACAGGGCTAGACTTAAGGCACCAGATATAGCTCGCACCTGGTGCAGGTTGACATCACAACCTTGTTGCACCAGACTAAACCAGGTTGCACTTATAACAGAACCTTTTAACTATAGATGTATATAATCAGTGTCTTTAATATTCTGACATTTTAAGTT